GGTTCAGCCCGCCCGAGAGCTGCACGGATTTTTAGGTTACAACATGTGCTGCATACCAAGCTCAGCCGCCTGTGCCTAGAGACAGTGACAGCATTGACTTTAAAATGTTTCAGTCCTCTTAGGTAGGTTGAGGTTCTTAACCTTATTGCAAGCAGGTTTGGTTTTTTCCTTTTTTTTTCCCTTTTTTTTTTTTTTTTAAGGTTTCACTGAATTAATTTAGCCCAGTTATTTTTAGGACATTCCTATGCTCCCTATTTGCACAGCAGTGGTGAGCTGGTTTCCTGTCTGCTGTTGCTTCCATTGTTCAGACTTCTCTCCCCGAGGGCAGCTTCTGGTTGGTGAAATACCAAACTCCCTGCACTTTCAACTGTTGTTCTTGCCACCCCCGAAATAAATGCGTGTGAAAAACGCTGACGTAGTTTCTAGGTATGCATGTGTAGGGCTTTGTGTGTGCGTGCATGTGTGTGAGAGAGGGGGAAAGATCTGCTTGGAGGATTGCAAGTCCTGGGCTGAAACAATGGAAACAATGAAAGGTGACAGGCGGGGGGGAGAACTTTTGAGAGGGGCCATGGGCCTGGGGTTTGCGTGGCAGAAATTAAAAGGTGCGGAGACAAAGACGGAAACTTTTAAAAAGATGTTAGGGCTAGGGTGCCTTTGTTTTATTAAAGGTTGGGCTTGTAGTTATTTGTGACCTGGCATTTGAGGCTCATTCAAGTAGTTTCAAAGAGTGACTTTGTTACGGATTTCTTGCTTGCACTCCCAGAAAAATCCTGTTTAAAGAAAAAAAAAATGTATAGCACGGCCGAGGCTGGCCGATTTAGAAGCAACAGAGCAGCGCAAGCTGTGAGAAGCAGAGGAAAACAAATAAGCTGGTTCCTCAGTTATGAAACTTATTCAGAGAAAAAGGTGTGGGTATTTTTTTTTACTGTGGAAATTCCCTTCTGCATCCTTGTAGTTCTTGGTTACTTATGCATAATTTTAAACTAATTTATTTTTGTTATTGGTTTTTAAATTCACATTAATTTTTAGTTAGGTTTTTTGTTTGTGTGTTGGGTTTTTTGTTTTTTTTTTTTTTTTGGTTTTTTTTTTTTTTTTGCTAACAGGCTGTGGATTAAAGCCCCGAGGACTCTTCTGTGGATAGTTTCATTTACAAATAATAACGTGATAGCAATCACACTGAACATATTCAGCTTGTTAATTAGCTGGTTTAGAATACAATCTCGCAAAGACACAGGCATGTGCTCAAGTTTATACACGTAGGGAATCCT